AGAGCGCAAAGGTCTAAAACCTCCCCAGCCGAGGAACAGACGTCGCCCTCCAGGCACCTGAGAGGACTGCCGCGCCTGCGGCTCGCCCGTGAAGACCGGCGAGGCCCCCCCAGGGCAGGCAAAGAGCCGCCTCCCATTCCGGCCGCCTCTGCCGCCGCCGCAGCCTCCGCTGCTGCCGCCTCCCGTTCCGGCCGCCTCTGCCACCGCCGCGGCCTCCGCTGCTGCCGCCCCCCCGTTCCGGGCACAAACAGACTCCCCCTGATACCTCCAGTTCAAACACACCCCAACCAGGCACCCAGATGAAACCTAGCTTCCTAATAAATGATAGCCATCCATTTACTCAGAGCCAAGCCGCACTAAAAGCCTCTAATACAGGAAACACAATGTTGCCAGCCAATCAAGACAAAAAAAGCCACAAAACAGACAGAAGATATTAGAAACACCAATCAAGCAGAACACAGCAAACTCCAAGACCAATAAACACAGACCAAGACTCTCAACCAATCAGGATGAAGAAAAAACCATTCTGGCACAGTGTAGGCTAGCCCCAAATTTAAAACAGAAATGGCTGTGAAAGTCTGATTCACAGACGAACACTATACAGAAGCCTGATGATGGCAGATGAGATTCTGCCGAAACGTTGCTGCAACTTTAAAAGCACAGCTATAATGACGTGGGAAAATACCCAAACAAAGCTGAATACCATACATATATATAGTGTATATATCTATATTCATAGATTTTCACGGGTACAGGTATGCAGGTCTTTGGGTCTTTTCCCGTGTAAGATTGAGAGTATCTTGGCAACATTTTGAAAAGGTTCCACTCATCATTTTCAGGCTGGTGCTTTCGGCTTTGTGCTTGTGCGAGCAAAGTGTGATCAGAGCTGCTGTCTCCCTATATATACTGGTGGGGAGGTTGGCTGTGTTGTCATTTCTTGATTGGTTGATGGAGTTGATGTTTGCAGATTGGCTGGCTTTTTTGTAAGAACATGTGTGGCTGAGGTATTGGCTGTGTGTGTATCAGCCTCCTGTTTTGAAATGACCTGGGTAATGGGCTGTGTGATGATCTTCTGAGTTCTATTGTTTTGACATCCTGGGTCTTGTGCTGTAATCTCTTGGGTCATAATGACCTGGGTCATGGACTGTGTGATGGCCTTCTGAGTTCTATTGTTGTCTTGTGCTTATTGTCTTGTGCTGTAATCTCCTGGGTTGTTGGCTGTGTTGTAACATTCTGAGATTTTGTGGTGTAACCTCCTGAGTTCTGTGATGTGATATCGTGACTGGGTGGCTGTGATGTGATGTTCTGGGTTTTGGTTTGGCTCCGAGTTTGAGACCTGGATATGTGTTCATGGACTGTGTCCATTTGCTTGGTCTGGGGATCGGGGTGTGTGGCAGCTGGTGATGCAGCTGTGGTATGGTTTCTGGATGGTGGTTGCCTTTCATCTATGGGGTGGATTTGGGTTTGAGTCTGTTGAGGGAGATTGGTGGTGGTGTCATGTGTTGTTTTGGGTCTGGTGTTGGTTTTTGTGGCTGGGACTCATTTGTTGATAAGGGTTAGTTTCCAGATGTCTGGCAGACGGGAGGTATCATCCCGTTTATTCATGTAATGGGGCTGTTTCTCTATTTCGATGGTTATTTCTCTGGTCGTTTGTTATTTCTCTGGTTGTTGGTTGATGGTTGTTTCTCTATTTCCCTGATTATTCTGTTGTTGAAGTATTCAGTATTGGAGATTAATTTGGTTCCCTCAAAATTAATTTCATGTCCTGTGGCTTTAAGGTGCTGGAAAAGGGAGGAAGTATTTTCTTCTTTTCTGACTGCGTTCTTGTGTTCTGCGATGCGTGCATTTATTCTCCTGTTGGTTTGTCCAATGTATGTGGCTGGGCAATTGTTGCATGGTATTTCATAAACTCCTTGGTTTTCTAGCTGGATCTTGTCTTTGGGGTTTCTTAGGATGTTGGCTATTTTTTGGTCAGTGCCGAAGGATGTCCTGATATTGTGTTTGTGGAGAATTTTGCTGATTTTATCTGTGTTATCTTTGATGTAGGGGAGGAGGGTGATACTGTTGTCCTGTTCTGTGTCTCAGTTTCTGGGGGGTGTCTCCCTTAGGATTAGGTTGCTAATTGTGCTTCTTTGGAATCCATTGGAAATTAATACGTTAGTGAGGGTGTGTAATTCTGTTCTCAGGTGGTCTTTGTCAGCTAGGCGTTTGGTTCTGGAGATGAGGGTCTTGGCTACGGAGTTGATCTGTGAAGGGTGGTGATGGGATTGTGCATTTAAGTAGCAGTTGGTGTGTGTTTTCTTCCAGTGGATGAGGTGTCCTAGGGTAGGGGTCACCAACCTTTTGGACCTCAGAGACCACCAAACTCATAATTTTAGATCCCAGAGACCACTAACTGGTTCTGTGGGCATGGCCTGATTTGTGGTTGTGGCTTGGTGATGTGAATGGCTGGGCATGGCTTGTATGTAAATATTATCAATATTTATATAAATATTGAATTTTTTATAAAAAAAGAGCAACTTTTACCCAAAATCAGGCAAAGCAAGCAGGCAGATTGAGTTGCTCACAGAATCACAGATTCATTCAGAGATCTATCTATCCGCCATTGGCTAGTTCAGTCTGTCACATAAAATTTGCTTGCAAGCAAACTCACAAAATTAACTCACAACACACCATGCATGTAAATATTGATATATATTTTTTTGAAACAAATTTTATTAATTTTAAAGACAAACCAAGCATCATTAAACATTAAAACATTAAACCTCTTTCCATTACAAATTCTTACAAGGCAGATAAAACTGTTTTATACAATATACTTCTAATATATCCCATTTCCACTTAAATCAAATTTCTCATTATTTCTCTTTATTCTATTACATTTCTTCAATATTTATCCATTTTACACTCATCATATTCATATTTCCCTCTGCCTTGTTTACAATTATTCTTCTCGCTTTCTCCCAAGGTTTTATTAAATCTCAATCAAACATACACACACAAAACACAAAAACATAAAACTTCTTTTTAAAAAATAGCTTGGCCCCGGATTACCTCTCTTTGTATGGACTTCAATTAAATTCATATTCAACTTATATACCATTACCTATCTTATTTACCCTTCTATATCTTCATTATAACTTCTCCCCGTTTTCCACTCTTCTTAATTCTATTTTATTTATTTCATCTTAATTTAAATCATTATATTTGTATCTTTTGTCCATTCTTTTCCAATTATCCATTTATCTCATTCATATTAAAAAAAAAAAAGATTTCTCCTGAAATCACTAATCGAAGTATGATGCCTTTCCATCGCTCCCCTCAATTAACATTTAAGGTAACACCTAGTTCCCTATCTAATTCTGCTTAGTACGTTCTATTTACTAAAATAATGAATCCATAAAGTAATTAAATATATAATTAAACATTAAATCTCATAACATTCCAATTATCTATTGCAAAAGCAAATACCATAATAATAAGTTCATACAAACATCCACACAATAGTCAATTAAACTCTATACTTAAACTAAATATTTTAAACATTCCTTTTAATATTTTATTAAATCTTAAAATCTATCATTATTAAACCTTTAATGTTTTAATCTTTACTTATAAAAATCTAATTTTCTATTTCTAATACAAATACTACAATACTATCTTATGTACCTTGCAGAAATATTTTGAAACAAAATTATGCATTACCCAGTATCCCTAAAAAAAGATTTCTTTTTCACATCTTGTTTTATACCTTTGTGGCTTTTTCCCCCCTTCTTCCTTCCTATCTTGTCCCATCTGGTCTTTTTACCCCCCTTCGCTTCCCCACTCTGTTGTATTTTTCTTTTCTTTTGCTTTCTAACATTGTATTGATTTTGCATCTTATTTTTCTCTTTCTTGGATGTTTTTTTAAGTCTTATGTCCTCTTTCCTTCCTCTCTTTTTCCTTCCTTTCTTTGTAGACTCATTAAAGATGGCTTCTTCTTCTTCTTCTTCTTCTTCTTCTTCTTCTTCTTCTTCTTCT